TTTGTTTACCATTCTGGCTGGTTGTTGTTGTTTACCTTTCTGATGTTTCTGGTTGTTTTTTGGTTTGTTTACCTTTCTGACTGGTTGTTGTTGTTGTTTACCTTTCTGACTGTTTGTTGTTTGGTTTGTTTAGCTTTCTGACTGGTTGTTGTTGTTGTTTACCTTTCTGACTGGTTGTTGTTGTTGTTGTTTACCTTTCTTACTGGTTGTTGTTTGGTTTGTTTACCTTTCTGATGTTTCTGGTTGTTGTTTGGTTTGTTTACCATTCTGACTGGCTGTTGTTGTTTACCATTTTGACTGATTGTTGTTGTTGTTTACCTTTCTGACTGGTTGTTGTTGTTTATCTTTCTGACTGGTTGTTGTTGTTGTTTACCATTCTGACTGGACCCTGTGTCTCTTGGTTAGGGGGGCCCCTCCCAGGAGGCGGGCCCCGGCAGCGCTGACCCCGCCTTGCCCCAGGTGTATGCCCCGCCCCCCTCCTACCCTCCACCTGGTCAGGGACCCCCGTCGGCGGCGGGCCGCCTGCCGGCTCTGGACTTCGGCTCGGCCCACGGCAGCTCCGAGTATCCAGAACACCCCCAGCTCCGGGTCTACCCGGGCCCCCAACACGACAGCACCGACGCCCTGACGTCCAGCGGCTCGGTAAGACCGGACTGNTTCAGGTTTTTCTGTTTCAGGCTGATAAATGGGGTCGTTTTGGGGAGTTTCTTTGCCTTTTCAGACCTGCTGGCAGTGAACAGACGTGTTTAATGAGCTCCTACATCAAATCTCAATCTGTGCTGTTGGATGAATGTAAAGACACTAAAGTATTTATTTCTACAACATCATGCAGAAAAAAAAAGTGTCCAACACGGAAATAAATCAGTACTTTTACAGTTGACGATGAAATTATAAAGTTTTACTGTATTTAAATCAGCAAAAGAGGAAATCAGTAATTTACCAAATATTTAAATATTGTCGTTGATTTTTAAAATTATCTTTAAAGTTTTGTTAAATTTTAAATAATATCCAGAAAAAAAAAAAACCCCAAACAACATTTATGACTGCGCAGACATTTGCTGTTATTTGTTATTTTTACAGGTTTTTGTTTTTCCAGAAAACATCCAGATATCTGGTAAAATCATAGAAAAAATTACATGTTGACGATAAAAACAAACAAAGAAAGAACATCCAGAACAAACTGTAAATAATGTCCACATCAAGATCTGCATTTCCACTAATAATAATCTGTTCTGTTACGACATGTACACCAGTGTTACACCCAGTATCTACTGGTTGTTGCTGTCACTGGTTTACACATATCTGCTGTTGTCTTCAGGATTTTTTCAGCTTTTTAACAGTTTTCTGGAGCCTCGTTGCTGGGTTTTCCTTCCATATTTATGCTGAACTGTGTCTCTTTCTCTGTGTGCATCTTAAATAACTGAGCATGAAGCTGAAGCTGGACATGAGCAGGTTTTAGCCTTTAGTCTGACTGTGAAGGCCACCAGAGAGACTCGGGATGAGGTGTGTTCAGGTCTCAGTGAGGCAATAAAACGGTCGGGGTGTCTCCTGCTCGGTATTCTTAGAGGCGACCTTTAGCGTGATGCCTTCAGGAGCGCTGGCAGACGCCTGCTCTCTGTGTGGAGCTGGCCGGGTTCTGGGTGGAGGTCAGGAGGTGAGTGACGGCTGCAGATGTCCACAGCTGGCGTCGCCTCCTGCTGCTGCAGCCGGCAGCCGATTGGTGGAGGAGGGGGTCTTATGGCGGGGCGGGCGGGGGGCAGCCGGCATTAAAACATGCTGCAGTTGTTGGACAATGCATCAGAGGTCCAGGAATGCAGTGAGGGGGTAAGATGGAGCTTTTATCTTCCTTATCTATCAGTAGAAAGGCTTCACAGGACGACTGTGGGGCTCAGTTCTGGTTTATTAAAGGGTCAGAATATCTTAGATTACAGGTTTTCTCATTAAAGATAAATAATCCTGTTGAATGTGTTGAGCAGGACTCGTCTGAGTGACGGTTCTGTGTGATGATCTGGTTTTAAACATTTTGAATTTCTACAAATGAAGCAGCACAGGCTTTAATCTGAGGCTTTTCTTTCTTCGTTTTTTTTAGTGGCGAAATCACGTTTGCTTCTCTCTGCTTTTAAAATGCACTAAATGAAGTCTTTTGTGCTGCTAAATGTGCCTAAATCAGTCACTGAAACCAAAAACCCTGAAACTGGGTTTAATCTGCTGATCTTTCCGCTAAAAAAAACTCACTGAAACTGTGTCAAAACTTTACAAAACTGACTCCAGAAGACTCCAGGCTGAGTGTCTAAACTGAACAAGTAATTTAAAGTCATATAAAACAGGGAAAGCAGCACATTTTTAACCCTGAGAAGCTGGAAAAGCCGGATCTTTAGGTCTTTATCATTAAAAAGCTGACAAATGTTTCAGCTCCAGTTGTTGTAGATTCTTTTATTTACAGCATTCGTTCTAGAAACTGCAAAGACGTTAAATAAGTAAATGTTTAAAATTAATAAATAGAAAATACAATAACAACAAAAGACAAACAGGTCAACAACTCAGATTAAACATAAATCTGCAAAATGAAGTGAATCCAACACGTTTGTTCCACAGCTTCAGTAGTTTTAATCTCATTAACGTTTTTTTTTCTGAGCGACTTTCTGGAAAACATTCACATCTTTCAGCTTGAACATCAAAACAAAGACTCTCAGACTCTGTCAGAGAATTCACGACTAAACTTCACGTCGGTTCAGTTTGGACGATGATCGGAGCCAAATGTCAGAATTTATCTGATCATTAGTTCTCTTTTAATTAAAATGCAAATTTTCATGAAGATATTTAAACACCAAGATTTTAATCTTAGCTGAAAATATGTCTTCTGGGTTACTGGCAGCAGAACAACAGCCTCCACTGTTTGTTT